CAACCACAACAACAAACATAATCCTCACCACGGACCCGCACTTCAGCCACGCACTCAGTGACAATGAATGACTGCTCGGCCCCCTCACTCTGATACCTATACGACCACCCTTCGGGTGATAAGGAGGTTCGGCGGGGGGAAGAACCAACGTTTCACACGATCGGTCTCACTATCGATCTCACTATCGGTCTCACTATCAGTCTAGCTCGACCGATATCTCTCTCTCGATCGATCTCACAATCGATCTCACTGAATTTAACTCATACGATCGATCTCACAATCGATCTGGCGATCGATATCACAATCGATATCGCTATCGATCTCACTATCGATCTCACAATCGATCTCACATTCGGTCGAACTATCGATCTCACGATCGATATCACCATCAACGTCATCATCATCGTCAACATCATGGTCAGCAACGTCACCAACATCATCAGAATCATCAGCATCACCGGGCCACCATCATCACCAACACCACTTCATCACCATCATCATCAACATCATTATCACCATCGGGACACCATCATCGCCACAATCATCAGCATCAACATCATCATCATCGGGACACCATCACCATCATCGGAACACCGACATCATAATATCATCAGCATGATCATGCACAACATCATCAACAAAATCAGCATCGACGCAACATCATCACATGAGCAGCAGCATCATCATCATCAACATCACAATCATCATCGGAAAAACATAATCATCGTCACGAACCTCATCATCACCATCCGCATCAATAGCATCAGGACACCATCCGCACCATCAACATTAGCATCATCATCACCACCATTGGGCCACCATCATCGAACCCATATCCATTACCTCATCAGCATCCGCATCATCAACATCATCATCATCGGGACACCAGCATCATCACCACCATCACCATCATCATCATCGTGACACCATCATCATTATCACCATCATCAACCTCATCATCATCGTCGGGGCACCATCACCATCATCACCATCATCATCAAGAGCACCATCATCAACCTCATCATCATCATCATCGGGTCACCATCATCATCACCATCATCAAGTCATCTGATCATCACCAACAGCATCAGGATCGTAAGCCTTATCACCTTCATCATCGGGGCCTCGTCATCACCATCAGCCTCATCATCATCATTACCAACATCATCACCATCGGGGCACCATCATCATCACCACCATCACCATCATCATCAGCAGCATCATCATCAACATCGTTTACATCCTCATCCTCATTATCAGCCTCATCATCATCATCGTCATCATCATCATCGTCGGGACACCATCATCATGAACACCGTCACCATCATCATCATCATCATCAGCATCATCATCATCATCATCATCATCGTCAACATCATCAACATCATCATCATCATCACCATCATCATCATCATCGGGACACCGACGGGACACCGGCGGGACACCGCGCGCCACCGGCCCCCGAGCGGGACACCGGCGGGACACCGCGGGGCACCGTTTCGTTTGCCGGAGGGAGAATCATTTGGTCGGGCCGCGCGTCAGCCACAAGAGACTTTCCTCTTGCCCGCCCACGCAGCTTCGCCTCGCCCGCACGCACGGCACGCACGAACACGAAGCCGAAACCGATTTCCCGGTAGGGGGGCTCTCCGTTCCACGTCGATATCACCCCCTCACCTCCGATATACACAAATATAATGTACGCAAGTCTAGATTGGCGCTTCGCGACATGCACCTTGGTCTTTGATGTTTGGCATGCAGGCGGAATGGCAGGAATGTCAAACAGACAATTTCGCGATAATTCCTTCTTGCCTTTCCCGGCATCGCCGTTATACTGATGTGATTCGCTATCCTTGCTTCGTGTTTCTTTGTCCTCATTCTCGCCCTACCCTGCGAATTCGTCCCCATCCTCCTCAACTCTTTTTGCGGAGGCTCCTCCTTGGAGAGCCTCCGGGGGCCCCACGGAAGTTCTCAGGCTTTCTGAAGGCCTTCTGGAGGCCTCCTGGGCGTCTTCTGGGGGCCTCTGGGAGCTTCCTCGGGCCACCCTGACTGCAACCGCGGTCTCCCTGAACGACAGGGTCACGATTTGGAATGCTTCGGAGGGCGTCTTGAGGCCATCTTGGGCCGTTATGGGGCTCCCTGCTGCCATCTTGAAACCCTGTTGTGCCGTCTTGGGACTCACTTGGACTGTCTGGAAGCCATTTCGGATAGTTTTGGAGCGATTTTCGAGCCTCCCAGGCTGTCTCGGACGCCCAGAAGACCGAAGAACAGGGCATTCCCCAAATCATGGACAATCAATGGACAATCAATGTCTTTCTATGTTTTGGAGACCTCTTGGAGGTCTTCTTCGGGTCGTCTTCGGGCGTCTGGTGGGTGTCTGGGGCATCTTGGGGCCCTCGGGTAGGCGTTCGGCCGCCCTTATGACCGATTTGGGCCCGTTGCCTTGGCCCAGCAAGGGCTTCCAGGAGCTCTGAAACGCCTGGGGGGCCTCCTTCAGGGGCGTCCAGGGGCTCCCAGGGGCCAAGGATCTGCGGGGTCCACAGGGTCATGGGGGCCCGGGATTCGGGGGAGCGGATTTCGGGGGAGGGGTCCGGGGTAATAAAGATACATGTGTGGAATTGTGTACACACATACATACATACATACATACATACATACATACATACATACATACATACATACATATATACATACAGACAGACAGACAGACGGACGGACGGACAGACAGACATATACACAAATATATACATACATATATACATCAATCCATCCATCCATCCATACATACATACATAGATACATACGTACATACACATGCATACATGCATGCATGCATGCATGCATACATACATAGAAATACATACATACATACTTACTTACATGCCCGCATGTGTGCATGCATTCATGCATACCTACATGCATGCGCATCCATGCATGCATACAAACCTTCATACATACATGTATGCATACATACATACATGCATCTATATATATATATATATGTACACACACGTACATTCACGCATGTATACATACATATATACATGTATGCACACATGCATGCATTCATACATGCCTACACACATACATACCTCCATACATACCTATATATACACATGCGCACATATTCACACGGCCATCTATACATACATACATAAATACATGCACACATACACGCATGCATACATACATACATACATACATACACACATATACCTATGCATTCATATATGCAGACAGGCTTACACATAGACACATCACTGCATACATACATAACTACATGCAAGCATGCAGGCACGCACACACAGCCATACATACACACATACATGCACGCATACATACATAAGTATATGCATACATACATACATGCATACATACATACATACATGCACACATACATCCATGCACCCATACAACCATTCATGCATACGCACATACGAAACCACATACGTATATCAGGTATGCTTACATGAATACATGCATTCCTACATACACGAAGGCATGCATACATACATACATACATACACGTATACGTACACACGTTATTACCAGCATGCATTCACATACATACACGCATGCATGCATACAAGGACACATGCATACATACATACATGAGTGCATGCATGCATGCATACCTACATAAAAGACAGGCAGACCGACAGACAGACTTAGCGACAGACAGACTGACCGACATATAGACAAACAGCCTACATACATAAATACATGCATAATTGCATACGTATGCACGTACAAACATACACATACACATACACACATATATACATACTCACCTACATATATACATACCGACATACATACAAGCACACATACACACTCATATATACATACGTGCATGCATGCATGCATGCATGCATTCATACATACATATACACATACATACATACGCATGCATACATATACGTAAGTACATGCATGCATACATACAGGCAACTGCATAACTACATGTATGAACCCATGCATGTGTGCATGTGTGCATCCATGAAATTATGCCTGTCTGCATGCATTCGTGCATACATGCATGCATGCATGCAGGCATACATGCATGCATGCATGCATGCATGCATACATACATACATACATATACATATACATATACATATACATATACATATACATATACATCCATCTATACAACTCCGCTCAACAACGGTCCCTGAACCTCTGGCGCAGTTGTTCACCCAAGACAAGCTTTTGACGGTCCCGGCGCCAGAAAAAGGCCCCCAGAGGCCGAACCAGACATACGAACAAAATGATCGACCCGAAAACCTTAAACCTGCCCACCCTTCCTGCTCGCCGGAACAAGCGCTGGGCTACCTCAGGCCCTCAGACGGCTCCAACGAGGGCGGGCGGACCCAGACATACGGCTGCTCCAAGTTGTTCGATGTGTGGGCCGCGAAGGACTGGACCACTTCCACAGGGCAGGTTCTTCGTCCCGAGTCGGTTTGCGACGGTCTGGGGGCCAGGCGAGGGCCCCTGGAGACCAAAAACAGCCCAGAACCGCCCACTCCAATTTTTGTTGTTAGAGCGTCGGATCTCTGGGTCTACTCTCCTGCAGAGGCTGGCGGCGTCGGGCCACGCACAGGCGGAGGTTTGCGCCGCCTGCCTGGCCATGGACAGCATCCGCCGCGTAGGCCAAGGAGGGCAGGGAGGCCTCGCACGGCACCGCGGGCGCGGTGGCCGACCCGCGGCTGCCGCCACCCCCGCCCGAGGCGCGCGTCCAGGAGCTGCCGTCCGAGGTGCTCCTGGCCGACAGCCTGGAGCTCAAGGGGGAGCTCAGGAGGAGGGGGAGGAGGAGGGTGGAGGAGGAGGAGGAGGAGGAGGACGAGGAGGAGGAGGGTGGAGGAGGAGGAGGAGGAGGGGGAGGAGGAGGGTGAAGGAGGAGGAGGAGGAGGAGGAGGATGAGGAGGAGAAAGAGAAGGCCACGAGACGGCTCCAGCGAGGGGGGGGGGCGGAGGGACCCCTGTCCCCAGCGGAGCGGCCGCCTGGGGCGCCACGCAGGCGGCGATCAGGCAGGGGCTGCCCGAGACGGTCACGATGCGGGTGCCCTCGCTGGCCGCCGACACCTGCGCCGGCGGCGGGGGCAAGGAGCGGGCGGGGGGAGGGGGGCCGCGATCGAGGGCGAGCGCGGGGGGGAAGAGAGGAGGAGAGGGCCTTCTCAGACGGCGGCGGGGCTCCTCAGAAGGCCTCCGGCCTGCCAATAGGCTTTCTGTGTCTTCGGGGAAGGCATCGAAACCACTCAGAAGGCCTGGGGGCTTCCGACGAGGCTTCTGAGTAGGTCCGCTTCTCAATTCTCACTTCCCCCCCGGGCTCGCCGCCGCCATGAAACGTGTTAGGGGTGTGCCGAAGTGTACGTGCGGAGGGCAGAGGAAAGGCTGGGATGAGGGAGGAACGGGAGGATGAGGGGGAAAGAAGACGCGGGGCGCTGTCTCTTCAAGGCGAGGGCCTAACACCACGAGATGTTTGGGAGCTGGAGCGGGTAATTCTGGACCGCGTTCGATCTCCAGGAGCCCTCGCCGGGCCTCGGGACAAGGACACGACGGAGGACAAAAGAACAGCCCCAGAGGAGCAAGCGGTCCAAACCTCTGGGGCCCACGCATCGGAAATAATTGGGCAACCGGATGTCTGGGTTGGGCACCTCTTGGGCTGCTCTCTGGAGCCGTCTTGGGGCCATCCTGGGGGGTTCTTGGGCCGTCTTGGGGCGATGTTGGGGGCCTCCGGGGCCGCATTCAAAAAAACAGATCTACAGAAAAATCTACGCGTTTCTCAAGGAACGCAGCAATTCTCGCGCTGTTCGGAAGCATCGTGGAGCCTTCTTGGGGCGTCCAGGGGGGCCTCTTGGGCCGTCGGGAGGCCATTTCGGGGCGTCTTTGTCGGCTACACGCAAGAGCGGCCATGGGTAAGAGTGACCTTTGGTGCGCGGCTTTTGGGGGGCCGCGGGGGGAGCAAACACAAGCGCGCAAGACGGTGCTATCGCATCGCGCTCGGCGATCGGAAGACCCCAATGGGCGCGCACCAAAGGACTCCAGCGAAGGGTCACTCTTACGTGAAGTCGACTTTGGCCCTGCTGCACCGCTCCAGTCGCTTACCCGTGCTCCTCGGAGGGTGATCTGGGCGGCCAGAGCGGGCGGAGGGAGGCCGCCGAGGGTCTCAAAAGGGGGGGCGAGGAAATCGGGAGGGCATGCCAGCCCGAGGCTCCCTAGTACCCTGCAAACGATATGATCTGATATGCTATGATATGGTATGATATGATATGGTATGTGCATAATGTGTTATGACATGAAACACTTATATATATATATATATATATATGTACATACATACATACAAACATACGCAGACATCCAGCGTCTCCGGCCTCCCGGGGCCCTCACCGGTCCTCGGGACCCTCAGCAAAAAGGCTCGGGATAACAAAAACGGCCCTGGGGAAAGGGTACCGAGAGGTCGAGGACCCGCGTCTCGGAAAAACCGAGACGCCGGATGTCTGGGTAGTGTTTCTTATGTGTGAATACATACATATGTATATGTGTCTATATGTTTATGTATGAAAATAAATCAATAAATTGCACCGTGGGAAAAGCGGCATCGAAAGAGACGGAGAAGGGGGCAGGGCTGCCCCAGTGCCGAGAGGGAGGTAGTCAGAAGCGGAGTGGGGGGGAGAGCCTCCCTCGCCTCGCCTCTCCCACCTCCTCCTCTAGAAAAAGAAGCAACGCCATAAGCATAACATTTTGGCGCGCGGATTTCTTGGATCTGCGATGGCCCCCCCCTGGCGGCGCCCCTGGCGCCGCCCCTCGCGCTCCGCGCGCCAGGGAGGGGGGTCAATCGCAGATCCAACAAATCCGCGCGGATCGCCAAAAGCTTATGTTTATCGCGATTGTTCTTCTTCGATCCTCCCTCCCCCATTCTCCTACCCGTCAGTAGCGCGGCATGAACGCGGGCAATGCCTCCACACTGATCACCCGCGTGCCGTTCGTGGTCGCGACGGACAAGAGGCCGGGCGACAGAGGGGTCGAACTCTCCGATGATTCACACCTCACCTCGCGCCAGACTGCTGGCTCCTCCTCCTCCTCCTCCTCTTCCTCCTGCTCCTCCTGCTCCTCCTTCCCCTTCCTTTGATCGGATGATCGCAGCGTCTGGGTCCTTCTTATTCACTTCCTTCTACTGCCCTATCCCTGTCATCCTCCTATCCCTGCCTCCTCTCTTCCCTCATCTTTACCCTTCCTCTCTTCCTCCTCGGCTCGATCTGTTTTGAAATGCTGCAGAAGACACGTTCGCCTGCCGAGGTAAAACGATCCACAATGCTACTCCAGTCCGGACTCATCCCTCTATCCCATTTCCCAGGCCGACCCATGCGTACCAGAAAAACAACGAGGGAGGAGGTGGGATAGGGAGGGGAATAGTAGAGGAGGCGAGGCGGCATGGAGAGGGAGGGACCATGAGGAGAGAAGACGGAAGAGCGAAGCAGAAAAGAGGAGGGGTGGAGAA